TTTGACCTCTCTGGTGTCTCCTACAAGGAAACAGACAACTACTATCCTTATCAGAAGGGAGTGGGCCCTACTTGTGGGATAAACAGTGATGTCTGCTTGGTCTAGACAGCTGATAACTCTCAGGGAGAATAACCCCCAAGTATAGTCATTCTCAAGCAGCTAAGTCTGGCATATATTTGGGGGAGACAACTTGGGAGAAATCCTTCTGTTTCCCACAGTGGGGCATCTCAGCTGACACGGCTCTTTCCTCAGTCTCCTTTCTTTGAAGGTCACTGATCTTTGTTGCTTTCTGCCTCATTGTTACATTTCATGCCCAAGGGTCCAAGCAAGCCAAACACTAACTACTGGCGCTGTGTCAGAGGGGTGGCAGTTGATAGGAAACTGGAGGCCAGTGTGAGATGACGGCCTTCCCAGAAGCATCCTGGGAAGGAGAGAAGTGAGTGCAGTTAACCCGTGCTGTCTTCTCACTCCCAGGGCCTGTTGAATCTCGTGCTGCAGCGAGAGCGCGCCTTGGTGAGTGCGGGCTCTGAGGGGGTCGGCCTCCCGAGTTTTGCTGGTTTGTAGCAGCGTGCCCACTTGGCGTGTTCTTCGGCCATTGGTGTCAGCCTCCGGTCCCTTTGTTTCAGGCCTCCCTGGGACAGCCATTGCACCCTTTGCTAGTGGTGGCCCCGACGCAGCTCCGGGCCTGGCTCCAGCAGTACCATAACACGTGCCAGGGGATCCTGCAGCTCGTCGAGTGAGTGTCCTCCTTTAGAGGCCTAGCATTGCCCCCCCAACCCCCCCACCTTAGCAAGCACAACATCATTCCTTGCCTGCTTGCCTTCACGCCAAACCTCAGCTGGGCTAAATACCCTGACTCCCAGGGACCAGTAGCTGGTTCTCACAGAAAGGATCGTTTTCTTTGGAAGCCCTCTTCCCACTACTCTAATTTTGCCAGCACTTCTCCATGAACGGCCCGGGGCTGGGCACCCAGAGTGACAAGCTCAGAGGTGCTCCTTTCCGGCAGGGTGGAGGGAAAAGCAGCTCATCTGCATGCACTTGTCCCGGGCCTGCCTTCTGCTGGCTGAGCCCGGAGCTACATTTGTCTGCTGCCTGGGGATCTGGGTCTGGAGTTTTACCTCAGGCGGCTATCCTGACTTAGCTGACTGGCACGGTTTTGTCATTAGAATGATGCTAGGGCTCCCCAGGGAGGGGCCTGCCTTACCGATTCCAGGTGTTACACATGCTGTATTCACTGATTGACGGACCGGGCTGTCATCTTCCTGCAGATTGATTCCTGCCAAATGCCTTCAGAAAGGGGCTGAGGTCTCCAATCCCAGGATTGAACAGCAGATCAGCTCCCTGCTGGGAGCGTGCGACTTGGAAGAGGTAAAGGGGTGACCCGGGTCCTGCGGAGGGCACTGTGGGACAGAGCTGACACCTCCCCTGTAGTTCCAGACTTGCCTGGTCCGGCACTGCAAGCACGCGTTCGGCTGTGCCCTAGTGCACAGGGCTGGCTGGAAGGTCGTCTACTCCGGGGACACCATGCCCTGCGAAGCCCTGGTCCAGATGGGTAAGTGGAGCTTCCTTTGGGGGTTGCCCAGCTATGAGGGCTTCCAGGTTTCTAGATAAAGGTCAGCAGAGGCTGCGAGGCCGGCCTCGAGACCAGGCCGCTGTTGTGTGCATTGGACTGTGGGCTTCTCCTGCACTGCGCCCTGTTCCGACGCCCCGTGTTCATGCTTCAGGGAAAGACGCCACACTTCTCATACACGAAGCCACGCTGGAAGATGGCTTAGAAGAGGAAGCGGTGGAAAAGACACACAGGTAGGAAAGCCCTCTTGTCCCCCTATCACCCACTTCTGCGGCATGGTACTTTTTAGCAAAGGCTATTTCCCTCAACAGTGTGGGGCTGGCTGCTGCTTTCTCGAATGGCCTCCTATCACTGTGCCTAGGTCCTGGCGTGAGCCGTGTTTGTTTTTAAAGGAACTAGAAACGTGCTGACATAAACTGCAAGACGGGGCCAGGAGTTTGCCAGGAGCTCTGGGAGGACTTTGAGCCCTGCCCTTGGCTCAGCTCAGCAGGCTCACTGCTTTCTCTGTAGCACAACTTCCCAAGCCATTGGCGTGGGGATGCGGATGAACGCCGAGTTCATCATGCTAAACCACTTCAGCCAGCGCTACGCCAAGATCCCCCTCTTCAGCCCCGACTTTAACGAGAAAGTCGGAATCGCCTTTGACCACATGAAGGTCAGTCTCATGAAGGGCTGTGGTGGGTGGGGCCGGAGCAGAGGGTGGCTGGGCTTCATCTCACCCAGTGATCCACATCCTGGACCTTCTCCCACTGTTCTGGAGGGGCCTCTGTGGGGGCCCCAGGTCTCAGCAGTAGAACCTCCTCTTGAGCCGGAGAGGCACTGGAGGGCCTTCTGCCCTCCTGGCTGGTGAAGCCAGAACGTAGCCCAGGCCCCCTGCAATTAAGGCTCCCTGGGGGATGGACTGGGGAGCGTGAGGACAGGGTGGGCCCTCACCTCCTCCTGCCTTCCAGGTCACCTTTGGAGACTTTCCCACAGTGCCCAAGCTGGTCCCTATGCTCAAGGCCCTGTTTGCCTGCGACCTCGAAGAGATGGTGGAGCGCAGGGAGAAGCGGGAGCTGCGGCAGGTGCGGGCAGCCCTGCTTTCTAGTGAGTCCCCGCAGAAGCGGGGCCTCGGGGAGGAGCCGCCTAGCCCAACCAGCAAGAAGGCCCGAGCCACGTAAGCGTAGCAGTGAAAGGCGGGAGCACACCTCCCCAAGCGGAACAGACTGCTCAGAGGGCAGCATGCCGCCCGGCTCCAGAGAAGGCGTCCTCGCACTCAGGATGTCCGAGACTCAAGGGTGACTTTTCAAAGACATCGACACAACAATAAAGATTCAGTCTGGCATCCTGCAGTCTCTGCTTGGTCCGGCACGTCACAGCCACTGCTGTTGGTCCACAGAGGGACCTCTGGGGACGTGTTCGCAGGAGGCCTCCCGAGGACCGAGTGCCGTGCTTCGCAGAGACTCCCACCACCCCTGTGGTCCAAGGGTGGCATGAAGACAGCACACTGCGAGCTGGCCCTGAGGTGAGTGCGCGCGGAGTGCAAAACACTAAGTGCTGACGGTTCCTTGTCACAGATCTGCCTGTGCTGCTTTGCGCCTTCTCCCTACCGACAAAGGTGGATTAAGAGCTTTACCTCTAGGATCAAGGCCCCAGGCTTCCATCAGGCAAGGCGACATAGCTCCTGAGCTCTCCCCCGTTCCCACACGCTTGTTACTGAAGCAAGAAGATACACCATGCTCAGGGATAATAAATCTATTTTAATAACATTACTTTGGACAACTATTTATACATGTTATTTAAAGGTAACTTTCAACCCCTGGGCTCCATCACACACTGGCTCCTACATCCCCTTGACAGGAAGTGAGCAAAGCTGTGATGTTAGAGGGGCCGTGCAGAGACCCCCTCTCCGCGAGGGGTGACTGACAGTACACCATGTTGGGAAATACCGAAGCATTCAAATATCCATTGTACACCTACCTGTACATCAGGTTTAGATTGAATGGCTCGAATTAAACAAATATAGATTTCATATGTACAAACATTTTATCATGTGTAGGCATATTGTTATATCTATTTTAAAAGGACAGAATTATAAAGTTTGACTTTGCATGCATGACCCAAACCTGGTTCTCACCCCCAGTCTGAACAGGCACTCCCACTACTGGCTGGGACACGGGGTGAGGGGCCCAAGCAGGGGGCTCCACCGTCTGCCTCTCGTTCGCATGCTCGGGGCAACAGAATTATTGCTATTCATTTGTAACGTCCAGAAAGACAAACCAGGCTTCTGGTCCACATGCCTAGCAAGCCTGGGGGCCAGAGATCTAATAGTTTGAGGGGGCAGAGGGCAGGTCCAAACTCTCCTCGAGCCCTACTGACTGGAAGCTCCTTTTATACTAATGATCCTGTCACATCAGTCAAACTTTTCGGGAGTGAAGCATACTGGTTTAAGCAGGTTACTCTGGAGCCCCGGAGGGTTACCACCCTTCCCTCCAGAGCCCCTGAGCAAGGAGGATCAAGAAGCTGCTAATGCAGGAGTGGGCACTAGCTGTCAAAGGAAAGGTAGTAGCCCCAGGTCTAACCAGCCATTCGCCCTTAGCATTCCCTGCCCTGCAAAGGACCTTTCTTCAACGAGTACTCAATCCTTGGGTGGAGAAATGGGTGCTGCTTGGCATGGAGGCTGAGAGTGGATCAGAAGAGGCACAAAGTCAAAAGGCAAACAAAAGGTCCAAGTAACCGCCCCTGCCTGGGCCGGAAGCCACCCAATCTCTGAGAACCCCGCCTGGTGTCGGCAGTGCCCAGGAGCCCACAGCTCGGCCCACTCACAGCGCTGCTCCTGGCACAGGTATGCACACACGTGTTGCGTGGACGCTGGGGAAAGGGGCGTCAGAGGGCCGTGCTCTCGGAGTCCTCCTCGGGGCCCCGTTTCTCGGTCACGGAGTGTCGCCGCATGTGCTCCAGCGGGCTCAGGCGGAGCGTGGACCCAAGCTCTACGTGGATAGAGGGGATATCAAAGTGGACAAGATCTGGAAATTGGCAGAGAGAGAGGTGGGTGAACAGAGGCATCCAGCTACAGAGAGGCTCACCGTGGGCAAATAGCTAGCACTAGGGGACCCCCTGTAAGGGCTGGCTGGACCTTTTACTGTACAATTGTAGGGTCAGACCTGCTCAGCCACTTCTACCTTGTAAGCAGGCACCTCAAGGAGTGGACTCCACCCTGTCCGCCAGATTCCTTGCCGACCTCCCAGCTCTACGCTGCATATGAAGGATGCTTTCTGGGTAGCATTTTGAGAAGCTGGGGGCTGCAGTTAGGGTCTTAGAGTCTGTAGGAATAGGGCAGGGTGACTGGGGAGAACAGCAAGGGTCTCCCCTGTACCCTGGTGATAACTGAAGTAAACCGCCTGGGTGCTGGGGAGTCTGGCACCTCCAGTGACTTTCTGCCCAGGCCCCACAGCACCCTCTCCACGGCGGCTGTGCAGTGGCTAGCCCCTGGTTGTGTCTACTGGGCACACAAGATGGGAACTCCTGGGGAGATGACGGGAAAGTGTGGGCTGCTGAGGCCAATCTGGAAATCTGAGGGGCAGCAGCACAGCCAGGCTGACACGCCACGTTAGCAGTGGGGGCCACCACCCACCCACCAGCGCTTCTGTGGGCTAGAAGCCGTGCGCCTGATTGCACACGTGCAGAGATGAGGCGTCAGTAGCACCCTGCACCTAGCCAGTCTGGTCAGCCTAGGTCGGGCCGCCCTTGCTGGGTCAAGAGGTAGACTGGAACGGGAGCAGCTGCAGGCAGGCGAGCCTTGGGAGGGTTTGCTTTCAAACAATTCACTGTTTAGTCTGAGCACTCCCGACTGGGGAACACACACAGACTTGGAAACTGTCCTAAAACACAAACAAACATGAATGCTCTGGGACAAATACCTTCTCCCTCATCCCTTCGCCTGTCCTGAGCAGTGCCACTGACTCATCTGGAAACAGGCAGCTCCTGTCTCCTGCCCCACCGACTAAGAGCACAGAGCCCCCATCTCTCAGGATGTGGGCGTGGCCCTGCTAAGTTTCTCACCTTCCCTGTACCTAAGTGTGCTAAGCCGTTGAGTTGAATGGGAGTAATGAGGGGTGGTAAGGGGTGTAAACAGGACAACACTGAGAAAGTGGGCCCAGCCCATAAGAGTCGCCTGGTATCAGGTGTCACTGATGTCCCCCCAGCTCCCTTAAGGAGGCCCCGAGGGAGAAGGCCATTCCCGGGGGATAGGAGATGAGAGCCCACTGGCATTCTAGGGAAGAGGGAGGCTCTGATTTCTTCTTGGGGTAGAGGGTAGGGTGGCTGCCCTCCTGAAGGGCTGATGGAGCAGCCCCAGGGGCCTGGAGGAGGCCTATACTAGAAGCCCCTCCCTGAGTGCTGCTCTCTGTCATCTTCTCGCCTGTGTTCTCTACAGGAGGAGACAGATACTTGTACAAATGCTCCCTGAGTATAAAGGCCTCCAGGCAGCAGACTCAAGAGATAAATCAGATACACTGTTTGGAGAACAGGCCTGGGGGGGGGAGGGGGGGAGAGGCTGGACGTGAGTGGCCCTGGTGAAGGAGATGGGGTGCTGGTGGGGGGGTCTCCGTCCATTTGCTAGTTCTCTCCCCCAGTTCCTCCTAATGAAAAAGCAGAACCACACAAAAGCCAGTGATTCCCAAAAGCCAGCACGGGGTCATGGGTCAGGTGGCTCCTGGGGGGGTGGTGGGGGCTAGAGGCAGCAGGAGGGTATGGCAGCAAAGCAGCTGGTGGGACGGAGCCCCATGCAGAGCACTGGGACTGGCCTGGGGCTAGCTCGGGGAGAGGTGGCAAGGTGGCGGGGCCAGCTTACCCTGAAGAGCCCCTCACGTATCCAAAACTGCATCCCTCATCTCACACCGCTGCAAGAACACAAGGACAGGGTTGGGAGGAGTCGGGAACAAACAGGTGGAACAAGAAGGCAAGGACAGACATAACACAGGTCTCACAGTCAGGCACGGGCTGGCCGCACCAACCCTGACGGCTGTTACCCTGGCTCAGGGACCGGGATGGATGACGGGGCACAGGAACGGTGACCTCAGCAAGTCTTTAGCCTGCATGCCTGGGCCCTCACAGAGGTGGCCCCACCAGTGGCTCCTCTTTCTGGCCCTTCTGGGAGTTGCAGCCTCCGCTCACCGTGCTGCTGCTGACGTAATGTCACCATTCCGTGCCCTACCTTGAGAGGCTGCAGGCACCAGCAGCCAGAGCCAGCTGCTTGCAGCCGTCGTGGGACAAATGTGGTCAGACTTCCCCACCCCGTGCTCCCCACAGAGGCAGCAGGCCTGTGGGCAGCTCTCCCTCGTTTGAGGCTCCATGGCAACCATGTGTCATCACAGTACGAGCTGACCATCGGGAAGCAGTGCTCAGTGCCCTTTTGGTTTTCTTTTTCCCAAGGGGGGACTGTCCTTGTCTTTTCTAAGCCTGGGGGAGATGGCCCGGGGCTGAGCACTGAATAGTATCGACCCCCAGAACAAAGCAGCCCGCTTACCCCTAAGATTACTCTCAACCTAGCACCAACACTTGTATACTGTCCAGGCATGGTGCTTCCATCTCATCCGGGAAAAAGCCTGCACTGGACGGAAGTGTGTGTGTACGTCCAATCCCAGGTATGTCACCTGCTGTGGGGGACATTAAGCAGATGTGCATAGATGCTCTGCCAGTTGGTGGCACAGTGGCATAGTCCAATATGCTACCTGCCACCCTGAGAGAGAGGGACAAATCCGGCCCTGGGTTATTATCTCATGTGGACAGCGTGCATGGGGGATAGGGTGGGTCAGCACAGTCTTTTCCTCCCAACCAAGGAGCAGTGCTCTGCAACGGTGGGGTGTGCCTGGGACTTGCTCGTACACACAGTTTGTGGATACGCTGTCCAATCTTTGCTTTAGATGTGGAGTGGAACTTGACTCCGGTAGCTGCCATTGCCCTGTTCCACTCACTTCTCAAGGATCTGGGGCAGGTGTGGGGGGGGTGCCTGTCTTTTCAGAAACTGACTGCTTCCCAGTCAAGAGACATGGCTAGAAATACATCTTTAACTAGCCGCGAAGGTGTCTTTCTGTGGTTCTTAGCCCTTGTTCTCAAGAGATGGATGAGTACCTGCCAGATGGTTGGGATCCATCCACCCAAGGCCCCACCTGCGTTTTTATACCAGCTGTTTGGGGACCACTCCAAGGGCCACAGCCTTAAGATCTGATATGGAATTCCAGGCTGCTGGAGCAGGCATTAGATTGGGAGAATTCTCCCAGGGAGTGCCCCGAGGGACATGGATTCAGGGGTGGGGTGCAGGGGCTGCTTTCCACCGAGAACATCCTGTACGCTACCAACGAGCACACCCCCTTTCCAGACTGGAATCTCGGGGCGCAGTGACGCCAACAACCCTTCCCACGGCCCATGCTGCTAAGGCCCACAGAAAAAGACAAAGGGGTCGGCGGCTTGGTTACCTGTGGACATGCTCTCCCCGGGGGCCATGCCATCCAGCACAGGGTGCTCCGCAGGCTGTGGACTGGACGCCGAGAGGTTTATCGTGGGAGGCTGAGGAGGCGGCAGGGTGGGTCTCTGTCGGGGCTTAAGGGTGGGCCGAGGTTTGGTTAAAGTGCTCGTAAAGACAGAAGGAGAGGCCAGAGGAGGCGTCACTGCTGCTGGGGAGAGCTGGCCGGAGGCCAAGGAATACCCTTGTGGGTAATTCAGTCCGTACGGCGAGGGGGTGCTTGGAGGGGTAGGAGACAGGCTGACTGGG